TTTTGGTTCAAAGTTCACTTCCGCTACGGAAGGCCGAAGATTTTATTGGTTAATTTATGACAGTCGATGACAGCACGAAATCTCAGTGTGCGCACTCAGACATGAAAGGCCAAGTGGGCGGTTTTCGAAATCCAGGGGTTTGTCTGCAAGCGTTTCCTTCCTTCCTTCCCCTCCCCCTCCCCCTCCCCCCTCTTTTACTCGGTCCATTTTTGGCGCTGTAATTCTTTGTTCCCGAACCCCACAGAAACGCTTGCTACGCAGGCTACCTCGACAGCGTCTCGGGTTTTCATAACTGTCTCAAACTCTCTCAATCCCCGTCGTGTTTAGATTTCCATACCGCTTAAATCAGGGAATGTATTAACCTAACATACCAGATGAGTGAGACTCCGCGTTATGTCGACTATTCTGCCTCTTTAACATCATAGTTCAAAATAGTCCTCTCCAGTTTTCTCCAGCTATGAGCCATGTTGCCTCAGTCAATAAACGGAGGTGGAAAGGGCCCAAGGCAATAACCTTATAACCAGCTATCAGGGACGGAATTCGGAATTCTAAGAGGCATACTTGCAGGGTTTCTGTGCCTTGCTTCCGCCCACCTCTTCCTTACTTACTAGTGTCCCATGCTGAGAATGATTCTTCCCTCGGAATGCTGGCTTGAATCCGCCTCGTTCCCAGGATCTCTCTTCTAAACGGGAAGAAGAGGAACTGGGGATTGGGCTTCAATGGCTTAATACTCCAAAATAGCTGCGCTGTGACAGAGAGAACATTACCCCCCCCCCCCGCCCTACTCTCTACACCATTTTCCCATTCTTATTCCTTCATTACTTAGTTGCAACTTACTGAATATTGCCTTTCGTAAACTGCAGCACGTTGTACCACTTTTGCACATACGGTGTACTGAGCGAGAACTGCGACAAACCAAAATTAGTGATGTGTGGGATACAGCTGGGACAGCAATTCCCGAAACAATTGGCGCATCCCTGAAGACAGGATGCGGTGCAGTCAGTCTGACAACAGCCTATCTCCGCTATCCCTCTTCCTCCTGGGCCACACCAACACGCGCAGCACGCGGGACACTGGGGCGGGCGATCAGTTCTCTTGGCTTTCAGGTAGGCCATGTCGATCTCCATGTTGTTCCTTACAGAACAAGAATTAAATATGTTTAATTTTAATTTATGTGGAATACCTGCAAATTAGCTGGTGTGTCATTTTATCTTTCTTGTGATGTCACACCTCAGGTATAGCTCAATGTATCATAATTAACGCGGTCGATCGTTGAAGACTTAATTAGGTATGTAAGGTACCAGACGTGCATCAATTGAAAAAAAAAAATGCTGAAGTGCCCAGTTGATATAATAGATCGGATTACGTTTAGTAGCGACGAAACTGAAAGAAACGTTAGTCGAGTGTCATAGTGTCTTACCCTCTTTTCAATGGGTATGGATTGACAAAAAACGAAAAGTACTCTCCATCTTCACGGTTATTGTACATTTGAGCGAACATTCCTGGGACCTCAAACTCTTCAGATGAAACCCAGGTCACGTGTTCTACCTTCCTTATCTCCTCCAGATTGTACATGGGAACGCAGCGGTATGTGATGGAATAAACTATCCCCATGCTTCCCAATCCCACTGCGCATGCCTTCAAAACGTCATCACTGTTGATCTCGACGGGGTCATATCCATATTCGGCGTTGTCCAACTTTCCTTTGCAGACTTCAAAGGTTTCTTTGCCGCCTTGTACCTTTACTTGGACTCCACCGCTTATGATCAAATGAAGACCCACCACTAGAGTGGACTGAAAACGAACATATTATTATCTCACCCTAATTGGTTTTGCATCACTACGTTGAACGATTGGCTTAAAGGAGAAGGTCACTCAAAAAAGCTTACGTTTTTTTGTCTTCGCCTATAGCAAGTTAACATTCAGCTTTTATACTCACCGAAGTTTCAGCCTCTGAAGTGCCCGCTATCCTGAAGAGATTCGTTTAGAAAGAAGCGACTTCGGAGGCCGGAGCCGAAACCGGGTATGTCTCGGCAGCCAGGCCTTGTTTATGTGACGTCAGTCCGTCCGACTCGAAATTGGCGGGAAGGAGAAAAACCCGCAACTAACTTGGCATCCTTAACAAGGTCAGCAAAATCTGTTTTTTCCAAGCGATTATCCACTTGACTATCTGCAATGCTATCATTTCGGAGTTTGGAGCATGTTAATTTCAAAATAATATGGCTCAAGAGCAGCCATAACCCAGAGTGGTAGTTACAAGGCTTGTCGGAAGCGATTTAGACAAAATCTCTCAGACGGAATGACGTCACGAACATGGCTTGGCTGCTGAGCACTGTTCAAAATGGCGGGAACGATGTTAGAATTTTGGGCTTCTTTGGAGACAAATTTCATAAGGAAAACCTGCAATTTAGGGGCTGAAACTTCAGTGAGTGGCTAAACTTAGTGCAAGGTTTTTATTAGCGTTGACACAAAATATATGCTTTTTTGGAGTGACCTTCTCCTTTAAAAACTCGCGCCACTAATCATGACGTCAGCTACGTGCTATTACTTCGAGTTTTGATTAGGTCACTGCATTCACGGTCCGGTGTTCTTTGTGATTGGCTAGAGTGGTTAGTTTCGTTTTGGCTTTACGACATTCAATTGAAAACCACTGTAAGAGCTGAAGATATAAGGGAGATTTTTTAATATTTCTTCGTCTGCTACAATTTTACCTTGTCATTATTCAATCGAAAACAAACCAAATAAAAAAAGAACCTGAAAAAACTAGCTCTCCGAGACTGACGAATACTTAGCAGTGTTCTAGGATGCGAGGATTTCCTCCTCCAGGATTACAACTCATGCAATCTACTGTAATTAAGCGACCAATATTGCACGTGACTTGGTCGTTGTTTATTGCTGATTAGAAAAAGCTCACTTCCCTAGCTGCAAACATTAGAACACAATGCTTCTTATTTCATTCTCTCGTGACAACCTGTCAGTGTGGGCGTGACGTAGAAGCCCTACATAGCTAGCCCAGCAAAATCTGATCACAGATCCCCTGTCAGGCTTTCATTAGAGACATTGTCCACCACATCATGATTGTTTCCTACAACACTTTACAACTTGTCAAAGAAATCATATAATTTCCATTCAAAGTCGAACTGTTGGTTTCATATATATTTCTTACCATAGTACCACTGAATAAACCTGATCCGTGAGTGGAGGTGTTCGCTACACCTGCGACCGTTTGACCAGCGTAATTCCCCATCATGTCAAGCGCGAGGCCATATTTGGTGTCCAACTGCTCAACGAAATCAACAACGCGCATCCCAGCCTGGACTTCGATGTCGACGTAATCTTTGTTCGCGTTGTCCGATCTAGACCTAGGTGCAGGTGTGAGAAACTTTTTCAGGTCCGTCATGTCTAACAATATGTCTTTTGTGTGCGTGAGGTGAGACCACGATGATCCCGTACCCACGGCGCGAATGGTGTAGCCGTTGTCAGAGGCATACTTGCATAAAGCAGCAAGTTGGCCAGGAGCATCAAGGCCTGAGTGAATAAAAGAATCAGTCAACTTTCGCGTCTCACCTTTGTCTTCTTCATATCCCTTATTTGTGTCTTCACGCAGCGCTTTTTCCAGTGCTTTGGATGCCATACATTCAATTTTATGTGGTTTCTCTTGCGGTATTTGACTCAGTCTACAAAGGTAAAGTCTGCATAGCACCAAAGCAGTAGGTAGGTGTCAGACCTAATTCGAAATTGCAGTTAAGCACACAATGAACGACTAGGAGTATACCTAACTCCTTCCTAGATATAACACTAGTTTATTGTAGGGCTACCTTAATTTCAGCGTTACATTTTCGGTTAGGTTCGTCACTGACCTGGGTAGAGAGATGTCTTGTGAAAGTAAACTGAGGTACGTAATTGTAAGGTTAAGTCAACCTCGAACTAAGTGGTCTATGCCGTTGGAGCTTGTCCCAGTTTGTGTAGCTTGAAGCGACTAGAAGCCTTCCCCCTGGATGGGATTCTAGTCCATTTCTAGAGTTAACGCCCAGCATTACGCTCGCTGATACCCGTTTATACACCTGGGTGGAGAGAGAGACTGTGAAAGTGTCTTGCCCAAGAACACAAAGTAAGGATCCTGGCCAGGCCCTAAATCCGGACCGCTCCGTGCTTAGCCTACGAACAGGCTCCCAGTTGGGTTTAGTGCAAGCTAACCGGGTGTGGTTTTTGTGGTCTAAGACGAGCGGGACAAACCGAGAGCGGTCTGGTGATGAGAGAGAGAGAGAGCACTTCCACTCGCTTCGCTTGCGGATTCTTTATTTCACGTTAAAAAGCTCGCTTCGCTCGCCAAAAATTTTTTCCGCCCTCGCTGGGAGTCTGTTCGCAGGCTACTCCGCGCTGATCATTGACCACCCAATCTACCGACGCAAAAATAAAACCTAAAACTAGCAGCGAGAGAAACGAAGGGCGGAGGGGAGCAAAACTCACTCTCTGGTCCTCGGTTACTTTATTTCTTCTCTTGTAACATAGAGTGTGTTCATTGTCGCGCAATGAAAATTAAAGTCAAAATCCATTTAGTGGATAAAGTCAAGAAATTGTAATATTATAGACGATAAATAAAGAAGACAGTTCTGGAAGTTTAAGGTGTGTGCGTTGTCCCAAAGATGAGATGTTCGTCGAAATGTTCCGCGCAAAATTATAGAGCCTAGTATGGAGCCGCCATGTTGGAGGACCCCCTTAGTCCTCTAATATCGCGGCCAGAAAATAGTATAAAAACCTGGAACTTACTTTGGCTATCTAGTCGACTGATTCTCTGAACCGAGCCAAAAAACATCTACACAAGCACTTTTCCTAATACTTTAACTCCTGAAAACGGAACATTTCAAGGCCCTTTCGAAACATGATCACTCCTCTGCTATTGCTGATCACGTTAAAACAACTGGTCATAACATCAAATGGGACCATTTTGATATTTTGGCGTCCGGTAAGACTGACTACCATTGTAAGGTTAAAGAGACCTTGTTTATTCAGGAGTTGCAGCCAGCACTGAATGCCAATGTCAGCAGTGAAAAGCTTTTACTTTATTAGGAAAGCTTCTCCATTGTGCCACTTAACAGACAGTTTCCGTTTGCAACGTGTTAAATTTCTACTGTAGATGCTTTCTGTCCAGGTTCCAGACCTCCATTGATACAGTACAAGAGAAAATGAGGGCTCTTGTACGGTATAAATATCTTTCCAAAAAATTTTAACGGTTATACTTTTGAAAATGCATGTTTTTAAAATTTTTATCACCGCTGTTTGTTTTATATTTTAATCAAGCTACGGTGGCCGAAGACCAAGAGTTTATATGACACTTTAACTCCTAAAATGGCTAAAAATCACGAGATAAGTGATTGTTACGCACCGCCATAACTCCGAAATTCAAAATGCGCTGGTCTCCAAACGAAGGACGCTATTGAGCTGGAAAGTTGTGAACAGATTTAAATTTAGTGCATCTTATGCCTGATGAGGATAAAACCTTTAGTGGCTCTTTTATAGTTTTGGATTTGAGAATTTGATGACGTCACGTGAACACACTCTATTCATCTGGCAGGTGCGTGACTGGGCTATGATAATTCTGGTCTTAACTTCTACTCTTGTCATTATATATTTTTCTTGCTACATACCATTGTCCAGTTGATTTTGGATGTCGTTGTCGTCATTTATTCCGTAAATTCCTTCCGGAAAACTGTTAATGGCCCTGTTTTGGGGGTGATAGAGGTGAACGAGTGGCTGTACCTGTTCCATTCCATCAAAGTTGTACCAGACCCTGCGCCCGGTGTATGTACAAAAACGAATGCACGGAAAGATGCACTGGTAAGACCAGCGCATGTTGTAACAGCAATCCATTCTGTTGCCCATGACTCAGGAATCTGGAAAATGGATTTCATAATGAAGATAAACAATTATGAAAGACGAAAAATCCTAAGCCGCGCTCGGTGAATAAATGTGAAAGGTGAAATGTTAGCTCTCCGATTCTCTCCGTCACATGGCTCAGAGGTTAGTGCATTCAACCGTTGTCTGGGAGATCATGGGTTCTAGTCCTGCCAGAGAGACAGATTTTTTTCTTTTTGCCCGCGCTCGCGATATTCAGCCTCGTTCCCAGGGTCTCATCTGCAATGACGGTTTCGCGACATCTATGCTGAACATTTCGTCTTTCACATGAATTATAATGGATATAATGGATCACAATCTCAAGCGTAATCACGAGTAGATGGCACCAAATGCACATTTCACGAATGCATATAAATCACACCTTGTTGGCATTAAAAATATCGCGTTTCACGTCTACTAAAATTTAACCTTTCCCGGGACGCCAAAAAGTATATATCGATTCGAAAATCAGGGAAATTCCATTGGCATCGTCGGCTCACACATCCAAGCTCTCAAGTCATTGACTCTGACAAATTTTCTCCTTTTAGCAGCTTCGTTCACTGAAAGGGTCACTGACCGTTCCTTTAAATGCTCTCTCAATTGACAGAGGACTTAGCGCGAAGTGCTGCATTGAAATGTATGCGGTCAGTGTTAAAGAGCAAGCTCTGAATAAGCGCGCTAGCCACTCTTGGGCTCGCCTCTCTACCTTCAGGGGTGTTTAGGGTGATGTCAGGACTGGAATAAGATCTTTATCATATAGCAAGTATTTAAGGTCTCTTCCAATGTTGAAAATTTTTGTCATGATCAGATATAAATCCAATAACAGTTCCTGTGCGATGCATCTAAAGCGTGGTAAAATCCGGCCGGGACAGCTATCTGTCTTAGCTGAAGCCGGCCGCGCGACGGTGGTGTTGTCGGCTTTACAGAACTGGCTGAAGGACGTGCAATTTCCAGTTACACCAGTAGACCTTTATTTTTCTACTGTCAGCCAGAGGGGGAGAAGGGGAGGGCAGGGGGCGGGACTCCCATATAAAAAAGGACGGGGGGTGCTGGTCTTACCTTGTAGAGGTTAAAAAAGTGATTTTGGTACCTCTTAGGGTGTTTAGCCTCAAAAGGTCCAACAGCGGGATCTTTTGCGGTGCCTTTTAGGGTACTGAGCCGAAAAAATACGACAGAGATATTTGGCTCCGTCCTTTTAATATTGGAGTCCCCCTCCCGGGGTGTCAGTAGTTGCCATTGGAGGGGGGCCCTTACATAACAAACTATAGCCTGCGAACGCAGACGTATTTCCGGCTGTCGCTTGTCTCTGCCGAAAATAACGTCTGCGAACCCGAGCCAGGAAACGATTTCTGTGACGTAGG